AGTCTACACCTCTTCAAGGCTCCAGAGTTGATTTGGGGCCTGCAGCTTCTTTTTATAGGTCTCCCTGGCTCCTGATTGGCTGATTCCTTCTGCAGCCACTCTAGCTTGTCTGGAGGACTTTTCTGTGATTTTCTTCTGAGGCAAGGAGTGGCAAGGCCACAAGCATGGCCCACCCCATTACAGGAAGTGTCTGGTGTTTTAGTTTCTCTTTGCCTGTTTCTCTCATAGAAGTTGTTTAAGAAACAATTTATTGTAATTCCATCGGTATGCTTTCCCTCTCTTTCTCATTTCTCTTGCCCAGCTTGTAGGTGTCAGTTTCTGCATCTTTAAATATTAACTTGATGGATAGTGGTAGGATTAGGTTTGCACTTGTACTTTGTGCTGGCCTATCATATTGGCAGCAATTTCTTTATCATATTGTTTACTAAATCATATATATCCTTTTGACAGAACAGTGACTTCATTATCCAGAAGTATCAGATTGAAATCAGAAGAATGCCATGCTGTTCTCATCTTCTATCGTAATTGAAAAAAAACAAGGAGTTTATGATTCGGGCAACAGAAAACTATTGCCCTACTGCAGAGATTTTGCTTTTCACCAAGTAGTAGTCATGGTTCTGTATTAATATGACTTGATTAATCGAACAAATAAAGCATCACCACATCAAGTTCAAGCTACTTGTCCTTGTCTCCCTATTTATTTACCCTTGTCTCTTTTTTATCCCATGTCATCCTCTTCCTTTTCTGCTCTCTTTCCTCTTGATACCTCATTTGAATCCTTCTCTGGGCTTTTTCTAATCAGAACCAATTGCATGGAAATTCCTGAGCTGGACCACAAAGGAACTTCTTGGTAAAGTTTTTCCTGAATACCCACTTCCTCCATGTATCCTTCAGAATTAACCAAAACATTTAACTTAATCTACCCCACACCAAAATAAAATAATCTTTCTTCACTCCATCATGCTGTACATTAGCCTTCATGGAGTTACAGTATTATCTTGCTGGTGTAATTCCAATCCTTCCTCTTCCTTTCTTGTCATTTCATTGTTTCACATACAAGATTATAAGGTATTGGGGCAATTCCTAGCAAATTCTTGAGTGCCATGAGAGTAAATAAAATATAATTATACAGTATTTGCTAAGTACTGAACACTTGGCTATTTTAAAATTGCTTTATTAATACTTCTAACATTCATTATGTTTTTAAATAATCTTTGTCTCTTATAGTTCATATTTAGCATGATTCACAGTCCTTACTGAGACAAAAACACTGGATTTAAGGTTTTTTTTCTGGAGTAGGGACTGCAAAACGGAGTCCAACGTTCTCAAGGCTGCTGTTGTCTGAGGCAGCAGCATTGCTTGGAAGCTGGTCCAAGCAGAGTTGAGCCACATTACATTGGAGTAAATAAAGAGAGGATCTAATTTTTTTAATACAGTAACTGCTCCCTGCTATGTTTTATGCATAGCAGGGAGCAGTCACTGAGACCATTTTATTATTGTATTGCGGTAGCACCCAAAAAAACATAGCAGGGAGCAGTCACTGAGACCATTTTATTATTGTATTGTGGTAGCACCCAAAGGCCCAAGTTTTGGGGCTTCATTGTGCTAAGAACTGTACAGTCTCCTCACAAAACTTTATATTTATTGTAATAGGAGCAGTGGGACACATCCAGATTTTCAGTATGCTTCTTGGACACACTTAAAACATGGTAATGACCTGCCTACTTTACAAGTTGAAACCATGCTTTAACTGTGTCATGTGGCAGCTGGATTTTAACATTGCTACATTAACCGTGTGGACTGGGACGAAGAGAGGTGCATTTGGAAAAATGTAAAAAGTTGCTTGAAATGCTAATCAGAGGGGTTCTTGTCTTCTGAATTGGATATTGGTTTTTTACAACCCCAAAAATATTCACTTAAGAAAGAGGGGAGGGGTGGGATCTTCCCGTCTGATCTAGAAATACCTATCCCTTCTTCACATTTTCCATGCTCTTGGATTCCCATTTTAAATATTTCAATGGGTGGGGTTTGACCTCTTGTAATTCAGCCGCTGGATAAGGAATCACATTTAGTTCTCTGATATCTTCACACTCCAAAATCTGCTTTAAATAAACCAAAGCCCGAAACTGCCACAGGAATTCTTCTTGTGTATTTAGATGGTGTGTGAGTTTATTTTTCCTTCAAAGGGTACATTTTAAAAATGTGCTTGGAAGAAAACAAAAAAGGTTATTGGGTTTAAAAATATTTTACTTGTATTATCAATAAGACTTTAGATTACTGAAGCTGAACATTTTGAAACCCTACCTTCCTCTTCACTCTTTCTGCTGTTTCCAGTTTGCCTTTAACTCAGTTTGGACAATAAATTATACTCTAGTTCAGGGGTGGCTAACCTGTGGCTCCAGAGCCACATGCGGCTCTTCAGAAGTTTATCTGCAGCTCCTTACATAGATACCAAATCCAAGGCTGGAGCTACAGGTGCCAACTTTCCAGTGGGCCAGAGGGTGTTCATTGTTCAATCCCCAGCTCTGCTCTAGGCGCTGTCCCCTTCCACCTTTTCCCCCTAGGATCCTGCCACTTCCTACGCTCTCCCCTGAACCTGTCACCCCCATGCTTCCCCCCTCCAATGTCTCCCACAGAGCGAGAGCTAATCACAGTGGGCAGGAGGAAAAGGAGGAGGTAGCGCTGACCGGTGGGGCTGCCCATGAGCGGGTTGTGCTGAGCGTGGTGGTGGGGAGATGATCAGGGATGGTGACATAGAATTGTGGCTCTTTGGCAATGTGTATTGGTGAATTCTGGCTCCTTCACAGGCTTAGGTTGGTCACCCCTGCTCTAGTTGCTTTAACTTTCTGGTTCTTAAGTACTAGCACAATGCTGCTATATTGGAGTGCCATACATTACACAGGGAATCTCTAAACCCTAACAAAAACCCCACTGAAATGAAAGAAAAGTATAACAATGGCACGCCTATTAATATTTGGATTTGTAAGTTCTCCCTCTCCCAGCCCCTTCCTTTTTAAACAAAGCCTAAATACCTAGACTATCTGACAGCATCCTCTTTAAGGTCTTGATCCAAAGCCTGCTCAAATCAATAGAAAGACTTCCATGGACTTCGGAGGGCTGTGCATTAGGCCCTATGATTAAGAGGTGAATCCCGAACTGAATGTTTGTGTTTGAGAACATGGAGGCCTCTCCATTGGAAAATGAATAAAAACAAAGCTAATATTCATTAATATTTTATATATTTAAACATAAAATGTTATCTCATTTTAGAATTAACATCTGACTGTCCTCACATCGCACCATACCTCTCCCAGCACCACATCATTGAGATTACCTTTCAGTTGAATTGCAGTTCACTAAAACTAAGCTACTGTATCTGTATCTTTATCTCTGTGGTCATATCCTGCAAATGTGACATGAACCCTGGAACAGAAACAAACACCAATAATAATAGGGAACCAGACGAACATGATTTCAAGACTCATTTATCATTAGCGTTAATAGTTCCGTCACACCTCATTTTCCACTCTGAGGCTGCACAAGCAAGAACAGAGCCCAGTTCTCTAATAGGCTGGACATAAATCCCTTTCTCTTAATTGTGCTGCTTCTCAAAACAAACCTGACATCTATTGTTTTTGTTGTGTTATCTGTTAAAAAAAAAAAAAAAAAAAGGGGCTACTTGATGCATCAGTGACTCAGTGTTTCAATATGTTTGGCATTATTATCTCTGAACCAGATGCAAGAGAACAGTCATCAGCTGCAGTTATTTAATTTAGTCCAGTAGCAATCTGTTCTGCTGTACTGAAAGGCCAGGGTTCAACCTCTGTTAATGGGGCTGGTGATATTATAGCTGTACACAATAGAAAATGTTTCTGCGTTTTTTCTTTTTCTAAATCTACCAAACTAAAAATCTGTATACAGAAAAAACAAACAAACAAACCAGCTTTATTTAAAGAAAGGTATCCAGTTGAAAAATCAAAGGAAAGTAAATGGCAGAATTAAAGTTGACTGCAGTTTTAATTGAGTCTCCATGTGCATATGCATTAGTATACTATGGTCACATATTAATACATGATCATGCAGGATTTTAATGTAGCATTTTAATCTGTTTGTAACAGCATCCATCCATTATGAATCACAAAGTATATTCAGGTTATTAAAAATGTATAGTAATTACTCATTTAACACGTGCCCACTTAACACGTTTTTGCAATAGCACGATTTTTTTTAGGGAACGTTTTTCAAATAACACGACCGTCCCCGAAATAACACGAAAATAATCAAGTAGTGGACTACTTCGCATGGCAGTATAAGTTGGTGAAAACAGCATAAGCGGATGAATTCACGTGGTCACAGTGCTCCTCCGCTCACTCACGTGTTTATCTTTGTGTTTTAACAAACTGCGGCAACTTGTGTTGCTAGATATCTAATGTTGGCGTTGACAACCCAGCACCAACAAAAAATTGACTTTGCCACCACCACCTGAAATGCAACCCCCACCTTTTCCATTACTTTTAATGGGAAAATTGACCCCACATAGCATGTTTTCGCTTAGCACGAACATTTTCAGAAACTCATCCAGAATGTTAAATGAGGAATTTCTGTTTTTAGATTTTAACCTTGTGTAACATGCCAGGAATATTAGTAATAGAAGTAACAGTATTTTAGTCATTTTAAAGTAAGTTATATAAATATTTAGAAACCTAAATTATTAGGATTCTTCACATACCAAAAACCTGGTGTGAGGCAGAAATGTAGCAGTTACAATCTTTCTTATCAAAGATCTAAGCTGATGTAATATTAAATAATAGTTTCAGTTCAAATATTCAACACAGCATTCACTGATATTTTTAAAATTCTGTATAGATTCATTATGTTGAATTAGGTTCAAACTGTCTAGTAGTTCAAATTTCAAACACATAAGGATTTGTCTTTTTACTTTTGAACAGCCGATCAGGTCACTTTCCTAACCATGAGGTCTTTCTTTGTATTCATTTCAGTTGAGGCAATCCCAGTCATACTGCACAGACACGGAATGCTTTCAGGAATGTGAGTAACCATTGGATTAGGACTCCTGTGAAAGTCAAAATAAGCAGTAATAATTTAACTAAAAATGAGATGTGGTATGGCCTGGATCTCTTTTACTTTTTTCTTATGCAGTTGTCATTTGTCAGATTTAAATTAATGTATGTTATAGGCCATATCCTATGCTGAGCAACCCTGAAACCCACTGATGTCAATGTGAGTTGTAGGAATGCAGTGCCTTTCTCAATTTGTCACCATATTTAATTGAATTTAGCCTAGTAACGTTCAGAGCTCAAAGTTGAATTTCCTTGTACCAGCAAGGACCAGGGTGCTAAATGGGATTGACCGGGGCAGGAGGATTATGACTTTTTCAATGTACCAATGTGTTTTTGAGAGAGACATATTATGTAATCTTCAGGACTAGTCAGCACTACAAAGTTAGATCGATATAAGCTGCCTTGCATATACCTGGTTATGCAAATGTCAATACTTAAATTTGTAACCCTTGCATCATGCCAACATTGTAACCCCACCTGTCCAAGAGATGTTGAGCAATGTACTATGGTAGACTCAGTGTGAATGTAGATACTTAATTACTTATGTCAAAACTAACATCCTCCAACAGCTGTCCCACAGTGCCTTACTTTGATCACACTAGTCACAGTTGTGTGCTCCACTACCCAGGGTTACCAGATGATTCCAAAAATACTGGACACACTTGATCTCAGATGTGTGTGTGGGGGGGGAGGAAGTCCGGGAGGAAGTCTGGGGGAGCAGGGCTGGCCAGGGGAGATCGGGGGGGAGAGGGCTGGTGGGAAGCAGGGCTGGCCGGGAGGGGCTTGGGGGGGAGTGGGGCTGGCCATGGGGGAACCAGCCGGTAGGGAGTGGGGCTGGCCGGGAGAGGGTCGGGGAGAGGAACTGGCTGACAGGGAGCAGGGCTGGCCCGAGCACAGGCAGATCCCGGGGTGCTGCCCATCCCATGCACGGTCCCGGCAGGGTGCAGGGGTGAGTCTGGCACTGGGGATTCCATCCTACTCCAGCCCCACCCTCCTCCTCTCTACTGCGTAGTTGCGTACTGCCTGGCTAGTAGTATGCAACTAAGTACTGATACTCAAGATAATAATAGAACTTACTTAATTAGAAAATACTGGACATTTATATATCCAGAATTTTCTCAGTTTGTTTCCCAGATAGAAAGCTCAAATACCGGACTGTCCGGTTCAAAACCAGAAACCTGGCAACCCTATCACTACCCAGGGTCACAGAAACTGAAAGCCCCTATACACATACTTTAAAGTCCCATGGAATTTTGAAATGCCTCCTTCTGATTGTCCATTTTGACAAATATCTAGTAGGTCTCCATAGTTATGTGCATCTGTCCAGCTGATTATGCGGTCTACATGCTGAAGACATGCTTAGACTTGCAATAGACAGGAGATATTGGATCTCCTGGGCCTGTGAGGAGAAGAGGCTGTGCAAGCATAGCTGTAGAAACATTCTGTAAGCAGATTGCACAGGGATTGCAGATTACAGAAGGATATGACAAGAACCAGCAGCAGTGCCATGTGAAAGTGAAGGAACTGCAGCAGGCTTATCAGAAGGCCAAGGAGATCAACAGTCACTCCAGTGCCAAGCCACAGATCTGCCACTTTTACAAGAGCTGCATGCCATATTTGCCAGAGGCCCCACCACCACTCCACAGAGCACTTTAGATTCTTCTGAGGAGCCCAAATCACAGACTACTGCCATGAACAGTGAGCAGGAGAAGGTGGATGAGAAAAAGGAAGAGGAATATGGCAGATACACAACCAGGGAGTCCAGCTATGCCAAGAATCAGAATCAGGTTTTGACTACACCACAGTCCACTCAGTCGCAGCAGTCAAGCATATGCAAGCCCAACGTAGGGGAAGGAACTGTGGGTAAGTGCATGAATTTATTTCCTATTACAGTGATGTTGCTCCCAGGGTATGTCTACACTACCCTCCTAGTTCGAACTAGGAGGGTAATGTAGGCATACCGCACTTGCTAATGAAGCCCGGGAAATTCAAATCCCGGGCTTCATTAGCATAAGCGGGGAGCCGCCATTTTTAAATCCCCGCTGCTTCGAACCCCGTGTAGCGCGGCTACACAGGGCTCGAACTAGGTAGTTCGGACTAGGGTGCCTATTCCGAACTACCGGTACACCTCGTTTCACGAGGAGGAACGGTAGTTCGGAATAGGCACCCTAGTCCGAACTACCTAGTTCGAGCCCTGTGTAGCCGCGCTACACGGGGTTCGAAGCAGCGGGGATTTAAAAATGGCGGCTCCCCGCTTATGCTAATGAAGCCCGGGAAATTCAAATCCCGGGCTTCATTAGCAAGTGCGGTATGCCTACATTCCCCCGCTAGTTCGAACTAGCGGGGTAGTGTAGACATACCCCCACTTAGTAAGACACAACTAATGACTTTTCAATAATGTACTTGTACTAGAATAAGCAGTGGTACAACAAAGAACATTGGAGTTATCTGCTTTTGATTCCCACGTATAGTTAAGCAGGGGAAGGGGAGGGTAGGCAGAGCAGTTTTTTTTGTGTAGACAAGGGTATCTCTTGAACCCTCCTGAGAGATCTCTGTGAAACTTCAATAGAGGTACTCTGCTCTCAAGAAGGTTTCTTGGGATGGCAGGCTTATTTCTTCCATTGCAGGACACTTTCCTATGCCAGTTGGTGAAACCTAGAGATGGCACCATTGCAGTGAACAGGCTAGCTGGATATGAGTCTTGGTGGCCTAAGGACACCAGCAGCCTTCGTTACCCTCAAAACTGAGATATTAGCTAAAACCACAGTTGTCCGTGCAAAATGCTGCCAGTATTTAGTGCCATTCTCCTATAGTCATAGTTTCACGTAAGTGAGCAATTCTTTTCTAATTTTCCTCACATCTGGAACACCATATTCACTATGGCTGGTACTGTGATTGGTGTTCTTCAGAAGTGTCAGTGGCATGGGTTGATTAAAACTTCAGGGGAGAAAGGGAGGGGAGTTCTGAAACTTAACTTTCATTTCCTTTGTGACTACTCTGACACTGTGTGCTTTTTCTGTAGCTGCTACCTCTGCAGCCTTGAAAGTTTCCCCCTCCACATCCATGGAATGCCTGATCCAGAAAAGAGGAGAAAGAAGAGAGCTTGGGATGACATGTTCAACAAGATCTTGCAAGTTAATACTGCATCGGACCATGAATGGAGGGTCTGGAGGATGAATACTGCAGACTGTATGGAGAAGAAGAATGGCCAGGAGAGAGGCTTAGGAGTCCCAGCAGGAAAAGGAGAGGGAGATGCACCAGGATGTAATGAGGCTTCTCGGCAGCAAACGGAGGTTTGCAGAAATTTATGGACCTACAGGTGCAATACTCACTCCCTATGCAGTCCATAAAGGGCCCCACTGTATCATCTCTCTATACTCGTCCTCAAAAACTCATCTGGAATTATGGGCCATATCAGTTGGCCTATTCTCTACATTGAGGGGATGTAACCACAACTTCATATACTGACCCACGAGTGCCACAGTTGACATATATGTAGCTAAAATGGACATGAATGTTCCTTTCCACTCTGATCCATACATTTATTGATATGTTATCTTTACTCAATAAAAGTCTGTTATTTGGGAATTAATTCATTTGTATTAATCCCCAACTTATCCTGCAGAATGCCTGGTGGTATTGAAAGCACCCATTTACTTGCTGTTGCACACTGACATAACTCAGAGGGTCAGTGACTAGCACAATGTAATAACCATAAGTGTGCAGCAAGCACTGCAAAAATAATGGTGCGCTGTCAGTGTTATATTCATATACATCAAATACTGCATGGTTCCTAACTGGCTACCAAAATGCATTACTATGTCTTGCTGTTAAAGCACTTTTTCAAAGCCTCCCTAAGTTGCACAAGTCCACATGGAGCTTGTCTGATAGCCCTTGTGTTTTCTGTTCAAACTCAGCTCCACTTTGCCCTTCACCTCAGCAACATCTTTTCTCTCTTTACTTCACAGATTCAGGACCCAGCAACCACTAACCTTTAGGATATTTTTCTTGAGATCCAGTCTTGTGAGCAAACAATGCTAGTGCCCTTCTGTAGCTGCTGAGCCAGTAGTTCAATCTTTCCTCAGTGCTGTTAAAGTATCCATTGTATGGCTTCATGAGTTACGGGACAAAAGGCTAGGCTGGGTCCCTAAGGATCAGTAGTGAAGTCCCTGATTTTAGCTTTCTGAACGGTCTGTGTTCTTAAAGATGTGAGCATTGGTCACCTTCCCTGATCAGCCAACACTGATATCAGTGAAGCATCCCTGGTGATCTACCAGTGCTTCCATAGAAAAACAGCCCTTTCTGTTGATGTACTCTGTGACAAGGTGGTCTGGTGTCAAAACATGCTATCTGTCACTCCACTGCATCTCAGGAATCCCTTTGCTGCAGATCCATCCGTTGTGTCTTGCATGTTGCTGAGAGTCAGGTCTCTATAGCAGGAGACGTTTAATGACCCTGCACACTTACCTGACAATGGCCCCCACAAATGATTTTCCAACTAAAAATGATTTCTCACTGACTAGTAGCAATATGGCATGATGAGTTTCCACATGATGATCACCACTCACTTCTCATCTGTTAGTGTCCCTGTTCTGGATGGACTGGGGCAAGCTCAGCACACAGATCCAGGAATGTGGCCTTGTGCCACTTAGGGTATGTCTGGACTACAGAGTTTTGTCAGAAAAACGGCCATTTTTCCGACAAAACTCACAGAACGTCCACACTGCAAGAACAGAGGAGTTTTTGCGCAATTGGAATTCCTCTGTCTACGAGGAAGAAGCCTTTTTGTGAAAGAGCTCTTTCACAAAAAGGTGTGTGTGGATGGGGAAGAGGGAGTTTATTCAGAAGAAGAGGGAAAAGCCCTGGTGGCCATTCTGTCCATAGCAATCACTACCTACATACGAGACAGCATCCAGGCAGTTTGGACTCTATCTTTCCAAAAAGCACATTGCTTTTTCAATAAGGTTT